CGAGCTGATCCTCAGAAAGATTTACAAGTTTTCTCTTTAGACACTGACTACGTTTATTTCATACGTTGTATCCGGATATTAAGTGGATTAAAGATTATTAATCCATATTCGTTTATTTCACGACTATCAAATGGATTAAGATTAGTTAAGTTTCTTAAGCCTTGTCAAAAGCGCAAGCCCAAATTGTTTTGTGTCTAAATTCATTAAAGGCAATCAGCTGATACACTTTTTATTAGGTTTAGGCAATTTTATCTTGAAATTAGCAACAAACTTCCAACTTCCTAAATCCGAGATTTGGAGTGTTTATTTCACATTTGAGATACTTTACAAATAACAAGATGCATATCATGCAAAAATCCCATCACAGTTCAACTTCATGGGTTTTCGGATTTTTCAAACACTGCGTATGATGCATGTATTCACGTCCGAACTATGGATGAAGACAGCAAAGTTCGTGTTGAACTTCTCACCTCCAAAACTAGCGTTGCACCTCTCAAGTCGTTAAGCATTCCAAGATTGGAATTGTGTGGAACTTTACTTTTGGCACAATTATTGTACAGCAAGGTGAAATCCTCATTGACACTTACATTCAATGAAGTTAATTTTTGGTGCAATTCTACTGTGGTTCTTGCGTGGCTAAGATATTCACCTAATACACTTCTAGTTTTTATTTGAAATTGGGTCTCTAATATACAAAGTCTGACTCCAGTTGATTCATGGAGATATGTGCCTACGGAGCAAAACCCTGCAGACATTCTTTCAAGGGGTTTATTACCAACTGATATAGCTCATTCGGATGTATATTGGTTCATGGACCATCGTGGTTCCATGAGAGCCCAGACAAATGGCCTCTGAACATTTCCAATAAGAAGCCCGTAGCATTTACTGAGCTGCCGGAACTACGCAAGGTCACACAAAATTTTGTTGAAATTGGAAGGCAAGGTCTATTTCCCTCTCATAAAACATTTTGCCTTCGTTTCTACTTCAACTGCAAAAGAGAAAAGTCAGAAAGGCAATACGGCCGTTTAACAGTTTCAGAAACTCGCAATCCTAAAAACTTATTAATTGAATTATCCCAATGTGAGTCCCTTTGGGATGACTACCAGCAACTTTCTAAGTTCGGAGTAGTTTCAAACTTCTTAGTCTTACCCCTTTCATTAAGGGGGGAGTGATTCGGGTTGGTGGCAAATTAAAAAACTCATCTTATTCATTTTATAAAAAACAACCAGCAGTCTTGTGTCCAAAGCATCATTTAACAACACTCATTTTTTGTCACGAACACAAAATGCTTATACGTGTTGGCCCTCAACTATTGCTTGCTAACATCAGAGACAAATATTGGCGTATATCTAAACGGAATTTGGCAAAGCGAATTGTTAAAGCATGCTTTACTTGTTTCCGTTTTAACCCAATCTCGCTAAACCCTGTCATGGGCAACTTACCAAATCCTTGAATTACACCACAAATTCCTTTCTCTGACGTTGGTATTGACTATGCTGGACCTTTCCAAATAAAGGATCGTAAGGGTCGTGGTTGCAAGACTAGCAAATGCTATCTACATAGCACTTTTCATTTGCTTAACAACCAAAGCCATCCATTTAGAGCTTGTAACCGAGCTAAGCACACTAGCTTTTGTTAAGACTTTTCAGAGGTTCATTACAAGACGCTGAATGTATATCCGAACAATGGAACCAACTTTGTGGGAGCATGTAATTATTTAAAGGATTTGGGGGGTTTCTTGAAACAAAATTCTGGTAAACCTAAAGAAAACCTGGAGCAGTCCTTTGATGTTACATGGCACTTTATAGCAGCATAATACTCCCCTCAGAGTAATAGGTACTACATAAATAGAGAGGGCAAGTTATTCATAAAATCGTTTGTTTTCTGCGGCCAACAATCCTAAACGACAATAGTGGATTAATGAATGAACTACATGGAGTGGGGATAAGATTGCGGATAATGCGGGCCAATCACAAACAAAACCCGTTTGACATTTCTTACTATGAATACTACAGCGCATTCCCGATAATGGTCGGGCTTGCTCCGGCAATATTTGCATCCTTCTTTATCTGGTTATCTTAACAAAGATAATACGATTCATGTGGGCGTTCCTAGACGAATACAACCAGGTTCCCAGATTTTAGGCAATGTTGCCATTTTCAGCTACCACAAAATCTTATTCAAATTTTATTGTGATAATAGATTATTATTTTATATAATTATTCTCATTCAATTTTGGAAAGCACCGCGATATTTTATGTTATAATTGTATATATATATACCTATCTAGATTTTTATATTTGCGATAGATTTTTTCCAATTTCCAATTCCATTTTCCCTGCAACTTAGGACAATTTATAAATATGGCACATCTGCAGTAAGTGTCCGCAAGTGATCTTAAAATGGGAGTCAATGTTTGGGGCATCTTTTAATCATAATAAACCTATCTATTTCATGTGTTAATCTGAGATACTCCCCATCATGGTAGTCTATGGGAAGCCGGCGTCAAAGCGGCAAAACACCATTTGAAAAGAGTCATACTCAATACATTATTCACATTTGAGGGTCTTTTTACAGTCATCGCACAAATAGAAGTAATTCTAAATTAAAGACCTTTAAAAGCACTCTCAACAGATCCAAGTGCTCACCCCAGCACATTTTTTGATTGGGCGATCACTCCAATCAATTGCTCATCCTATTTGCAAGATACCCCTGTGAGGAAGTAGTCCAATTTTGAAAAATTAAAACTTCTAAAACAACAATTCTGGTCTAGATGGACCAAAGAATATAAATTTGTAATTTAAAAAGTAGAATTAAATGGAAAAAAAAAAACAACCAATTATCCAGTTAGGGACGATTGTCATATAGTGAATGACAATCAGTTGCCGCCATTTAAATGGAAATTAAGTCGCGTCAGTGCCCTTTATCCTGGAAATGATGGAGTTGTACGCGTTGTGACAGTTAAAACTCAGACGGGTGAAATCAAGCGGTCCGTAAGAAAGTTGTGTCCTCTCCCAGTTAATGAAAATTAGCATTACTAGACAAAAAACAATTGTTCAGAACATTCAGAATCTTAGTTGACTGTTCTAATATTGATACTTGTTTAAATTTATTCTAATTTAGTTTACTTAACCTACAAGTCCAATTGCTTACAGGCTAAATCAAATTTTTCATGTTCTAGTTTAGTTTACTTAACCTACTAATCAAGTTGCTTAGATTCAGTAAAATTTGACATGTTTTAGTTTAATTTACTCAACCTACAAGTCAAGTTACTCACAGGTTAAGTCAAATTTGCTATGTTTTATTTTAAGTTTTGTCTCCTAATCTATATTATTGAAAGTATGTTTCATCCTTTCAAGGTGGTGAGTTTATTTATCTATTATTTTGAAATATGATCTCCATAGCAAAAACAAAAAAAAAAAAAACGACAGGAGAAAATCAAAAAACCAAAGTTATTGTGACAGCAGAATAAAAAAGTACAATTTTGTATTCTATGGGCAAGCAGTAGCTCTCCACGAATTATCAAAAAGATTGAAAATTGCGTGTTTCATGCCTAAGATACAAAGGAAAAACAAGCCCTCCACCTCCCCAAATAATTTGTATTTGCTTTCCCAATTTTAAAGGTGAATAAACGGTGGTAAGTTGACGTTTACGTTTGATTACAACAAAAAATCCTATTGAAAATACAGTCCATATACACAAAAATGTTGCTTGAATAGCAATTTCTCCCAAGTGTGAATCGTTCAACAAACAAGATTTGCTTCCTTACAGACTCATTTGCTTATGCCAAAGCCAGCAAACATTTAAAAAAAAAAGGGAATGCTTGGTAGGTACCCAACTTCGATATTATCCCTTGACAACTGAACAATCTTAACTTGGCCTTTGTATTGCAGTTGATAATAGTTGGGGAGCTGGCGTCAAAAACATGCAAGAGTTTTCGCAAGGCGGATATTTTCAAAATAGGTCGTACTTTAGTGCTAGAATGCTAGTGTACAGTCAACAGTCACAGTTCCGGGACAGCTGACTCTGGGACGCGGGCAAAGTTGTAATTTTAAGAAGCATCTAAACTGTTTTCTCAAAGCTCAAAATTTATAGAAATTTTGCACATTATCTGTTTGAAGGTCACAGATAACGTATGTAAATCGTCAGACGTCTAGTTCGTTGCAAAAAGGGGGTCAGACGTCCTCAAAGTTCTTATTTTATGGCATTTTCTTCAAATATATTTGTCAAATACCTGCAAAAATATATTTTGACAGGACACCGAAGAAAATGTCATAAAATAAGAACTTTGAGGACGTCTGACCCCCTTTTTGCAACGAACTAGACGTCTGACGATTTACATACGTTATCTGTGACTTTCAAACAGATAATGTGCAAAATTTCTATAAATTTTGAGCTTTGAGAAAACAGTTTAGATGCTTCTTAAAATTACAACTTTGCCCGCGTCCCAGAGCCAGCTGTCCCGGAACTGTGACTGCTGACTGTACACTAGCATTCTAGCACTAAAGTACGACCTATTTTGAAAATATCCGCCTTGCGAAAACTCTTGCATGTTTTTGGCGCCACCTCCTGGACTATAAACTTAAACTCTCCTTTGCAGGTATTTATACCGAATGTTTTTCTATCATAGAGAAACTCAATCATTACAAGTACTAGTTTGCCCTAACTTGTTTTCAATTTAAAAGAGGTACATCGCTCTATTTCCTTCATAAAACATCATAAGGGACGGATGAAGCATTATCGTTTTTGACAGAAATAACCTAATTCCATTAAAACCCATATTTCCTCTATCTTTATCAGACCATTTTCTCTTAAATCCTCCTATAAGCTCAACACATTCGACGACATTTACTTGTGGCAATTTATCATTTTTAAAATATCCCTCTTTTTTCCGCTACATTTGATGCATGTGCTTTCAGATATATTTTTTCATTATGGTTAGTTTTTTGATGGAGGGTGGATGATTTAGCCGTTAACGACAAGTTTCTTGAATAAAACTCTTGAAATCATCTTTTTCTTTACTGATACGTTACTTTCAGTTTGATATCACTTTGTACATACATTTTATCTACCTATATCTAATAATATATCAGGTTTAAAGAGTATTTAGGTATAAATAATTACAGTTTTTGGATGAAATTGTTTACATAATAGAATCTCATTAGTATACAAATGAATAATTTTTTTTGCTTCTGATATGTTTGATGAAAAATATAATAACTAAATACGTAAACCCTTGACCAATAAATAAGTATTTATTTATCATTACAACATAATAAATAAAACGAAAAAATTATAATACATATTCCAAAAAGTTAAGAAGGCCGTTTTCCAAAAAGTACTTCAAAAACTCGCAATATATCTTCTTTTTGGAAGGCTGCTCATATCCTAAAAAACACATTTACATTATTTAATGTACTACAATAATTATTACTGGTCCCCAGCTGGTTTCCAAAACACGAAAGTCGTTTAATTAACTTTAATCAAAAAGTAACTTTTGTCACAAAGAGGAAATTTATTCGCTTTAGCAACCAAATTGAATGCAAATGACCCCTGAATTTATTTAAACGACTTCAAAGAGATGTAAACTATTTATTTTAATTATTTACCTCTTACTTTTCCATGATCACTTCGTCGGGGATACAAACAACGCTCATGTAAGCGTTCATGTCGTTTTCCGTGAGTTTTCTAAATAAAACTGTGACTGAATTTTCGTAAGCTCCACTCGAAACCAGTCTTGCACTTGTCGTTTCGCATCCGATGAAATCCGGATGCCTTTCTAAAAATAGAACAAAATCTAAAACGGGGATTTTCAATTAAGGAGTACAATCAACAAGAATTTTCCAAGGATAATTTTTTTCTGGATTTTGATAAACAAAACTCATGCTGATTGCTCTACACCATTTTACTGGACACGACCGTATGTTTATTGTCATCAACAATTAGATTGTAAATTTGACTTCAATTAAATTAATTTACCGATATAGCTATGGAACAATTACCTGGTTTAGAGCTGAGGCCGCAAAGAGAATCTGCAATTTCCATGTTCCCATTATCTAACCCGAGCGAACCACCAATTTGGACGTAGTCATCCAAACCGCGTTTTTGACACTGGAAAACAATTATATTCATTATCTATTACGTTGAAGTCTATTTTCCTTTAAAGCTAAATGCCAAGTTAAATGAGGTTGCGGCTTAGGGCTGCAAGTTGGGCAAACATTTGTCTTTTTTTCTATACATATTTGACTTTTTTTCAAAAAAAAAAAAAAAATAATCAGAAGTTGATACGTTGCAAAGCAACAGAGTCCCAAACAGATATTCGAGAGCATGCAAAGAAGTAATCAAAAAGAAATGTCCCTTTCTCGAATGTTTCCTCAAAAATACAGCTTTTGGTAATTACATAATATGATATCTGTATCCGGCAAATTTTGTTTTCGAACTCTGGAATGAAAAAATATTAGAGAAATTGGAATCAGATGAAAATCTTTGGTAGGCTACGAGAAAAGTTGAAAATACTTTTGAATTTTGGTTATTATTTTTTAACTTTTCGTTAGAACGGAAGAGCAAATATGTGAATTGATTTTTTTACGAATCATCACAAACAAAGTTCGGTATATTCACATGCATAGTATGCCTTTGAGCCTAGTCTTTGAATCGTAACTAATCGAAGGATAGAATTATCCCCAATTTTCTCAAATACAAATATCAAATCCCAAAATGTAAACTTTCGTATTTGTTTTGTTTGTTATTCGGAGGATTAGTGAAAAACTGAACTCGAACAGGGCAAAGAGTTCTTTAATTTGTGGTTTCATGGTACTTATTTCGTAATGCAAGGTATCGAAGTTTACGTGTTCGTAAACCTCAAAATATATGAATCAGTGTAGGTACAAGTCCATCCATTGATTCGATTCCCTTTACTTAAAATTTGTGATATGTAAAGTTGAAGTCACTATTCTCTCTCCCTCTTGCTCTCTTTGGTAGTGCTCTCTTTGGTAGTCTCTCTTCTGGCATTCTGATCACATGACCCGCCCATTGAAGTCTTTGCAGCCTGATGAATTCTGAGATGAGAGCTTTTGACAGTCATTTGTATTTGCATTTGAAGAAATTATATTTATCTCACTCTTAGCAAATAGATATATTGCTGTCTTTCTCTAACTTCTGATTCTAAAATTATAATTTTTTGGCCTAATGACCTAATTAATTAGCGGTTTTTTGTTTTGAACATAACCTTAATTTAAATTATTATAATTTGTAAGCAATTAAAATAATTCTAGTGGATTTTTATCTATTCTCTTTTATTTCACCATCATTGTGAAATGAATATGGTCTTTTGAGTGTAGTTTTCTGATTGGTTGATCTGGTTAATACGCAGTTAAGTGTAAAAAAAACACAGGATTGTTTTCCTATAGGGTTTGGTTTCTTAAACGTTCTTTTTCTCTGGCAGTACTCTAACAAACTAGTCATTTTTACTTTTAATAATTTTTCCTTCACATTTTTAGATTCTCCCTTATAATTTTGCAATTTATTTTGTCATCAATGCATACTATCATATCATCGTTAAGTTTTCACCTGACTATTTCACTAGAGTGTTTTACACTGGCAAAATGTCATAGGAGAAAATAAATTTTCCAAATGAAAATTTGTCTTGTTTTTGTCGTGAAATAGTCCAGCCGAATACCACTCAAGAAAAAATTATGCAAGCAAAATTATTCCCTAGGTTTTTTTATTCAAGTTTGTTGCTTTTTGGTAATAGGGACATAAAGCTACTTGAAATAATTCGCCGGTATCGGTATCGGTATCCGTAACGCAACTAGATACGTTGACAAGCGAAAAGGCTGTTAAAGCGCTCCCTATTCCGGTAAACGTAAACGCATCTCATAATCTAGAAATTTTTGTCTCAAAACTCCGGCGTTTTTATATCTAACCTTAAAATTGTTATTTTTTTTTGCGATAGAGAAGCACTAAACACACAAGAAACTCAAGGAAGTATAAACTAAACAAATTAAATCACCCGGAAAAAAAGTGAGGTTATATTCATTTAAAATTTGACACATGTGTCAGGAATGTCAAGATACGTTACCGATACGGATACCGCGAGAGGGCCGTAACGTTACGTTGTACGTACGGTATCTCGGCCTCCGTATCGCTTCTGCACATGCGCAGTACGATACCGATACGGATACCGAGCAAAAAATACGGAAGCTTTATGTCCCTAATGTCGCTCATAAAATTTTTGACAAAAATGTCATTCGCGAAATTGCCAAGCAACAAACTTTCATACCAGTCGAAAATTTTGCCAACAAAATTTTTTCTGTTGTGGTATTATATATGATAAATCTTATCTTATCTATTCTTGAAATATAAATATTATATTTTAATTTCTTATCTAATTGTGGGCCTCCATTTTATGTGATTGGTGGTTCCACGTTTTTCTGAGGTAAGTCAATTCAGATTTTTGGGCTAATAAATAGGTACTGCTGCTCTGGTTTTCAGAATCAATTGTTAGTGTGGGAATATTGGACCATTTGCTCTAAAGAGAGTCGGTGAAAACCAAATTTGTGTGTCCATCCCTATCAACTCTTTATTGAATCCAGGCAGAGGCCTATATAGCTATTTTTTGTTTGACTCCATCAATTATTATCTTCTCGAAGAGAAGAGTGTTGAAAAAGTGTGTAATTTTCTAAAATAGAAATCCATACATCTGGAGTGACCTCACCCCAGCAATCTATCCTCTTTCCTGAATACAGGAAACAACTCGAAGAGTTCCAGTTCACAAAAGTGAAACCCAAACGTCCATTGAAGAGCTCCGGATTGGAAAGGTACAGTCGTGAGCACAAAAAGTACGACACCCGTTTTTTCCTATTGTAAAACGGGCTCACCAGCTATACCTACGGCAATGACAGGGATTATCATATTTGACAAAAAATCGATTGTGAAGAAAAGACTGATTCACGCAAAATAGCGAAAAATGACAAGACATGTCAGTCGGGTGTCCCACTTCTTGTGCTCGTGACTGTAATGTCTGCCCAGCGAGTCTGTGTCTACGGGGCAACGGTAAGGGGAATGCAGTTGTGAAAAAAAATGGCTGATTTCATTCATAAAATACCCAGGTGCGTGCGGAACTTTTTGGAAGTGTTATCGTATTGCAACTCGTACACGGATATAAATCGATATTCCAAGATGGGAGGATAAAATGACGTGAGCCCTGGCCAATGGCAAGACGTAAGGTGACGTTAGCTCATTGACAACCGTATGGTTCCCCATGACAACGGCGATCCTACCAAAAACTCCACCAATCAGGTTCATCCAGGACGGATGCTTGCCAAATTGTCAAAAGCTGATGATATCTTTAGAAAATGTTTATTTTTTACAATAGAACAAATTGAAGCAATCAGGATTAAAATAAGGATAGATCTAACAACCACGTTAAAATATTTAGCGTTTTATTATTGTTATCAATATTTTGTTATTAAAAAATGGATTTTCAAATTAACTATTCCCATGCCTAGTATTTTCGCTTTTTTATAATTAAACGTGGCAACATGGCACATTTACGTCCGAATTCCTTTCGTAGACTCAGATCCGCTGGGCAAACAATACATTGTATCAGATTCACCGGAACAACCAAGCTGTCAACTGTCAAATTTCAAAGAAAATAACATTGACTGTTACTTACATTGTGAACAAAATAAAATTATTGTTTTTTGGATTTTGAGCGGTTTCATTTGCACATAAAGGGGCTACATGTTATCTTAATTTTTTGAATTCCACAACCCTAGGTTCTTTTATCTTAAAGTTCAAATAACGAGGTTTATTTGTAACAAGAGTTGCTATAGTTAGTGACTGTAGCGTGTTTTTCATTATCCATTCTCCACTATTTATTTTTTGGAGGATTTTTCTTACAAAAATCTCCAGCTTTCTTCTCAGGTCGTCAGTCATGACTCATATTTCGCATCTATAACATAGATGGTCTTATGATGGTTTTCTAGATTCTGATTTTGGATTCGCGATGGATGGTTCCGGAGAGAAATGCTTATGACAAAGAGAAGAATACCTTATTTGCTGTCTGTATTCTGTTTTGTATTTCGCCTTCCTCGATCCCAGATGTGTTTTTTTTAACTTCCAGGTTTTGGTCAACCGCTTCAAGGTCATTCTCAACTCTAGTACAGTCGGAATCATTGCAATTGGCACACACTCTTTAAAATCCCTCGTATTAAGTCAAAATTCTAACCAATAAGTCTATTTAGTGCAGCATTTTGCTATTACTGTGTGTCAGATTTGACACATTACGAGGGATATTCATATAGTGTGTGCCAATTGCAATGATTCCCACTGTACGTCTGTCATTGTTGTTTCTTCCTATTTGTATCTATGTCAGATTTTCTTTCTTTAGCCTCATTTATTTGGCTTATTTTCCCACCAGAGCTCATTGCTGAACTTGGTTGGCGAATCTCCTGTAACAAAGTTACCTGAATTTTACATTCATACCGCGAATTGTTTTAATTTATTTCCGAAATAATGATTAAATATTTAGTACAGTAATATTTAAACGCATGACCTTGCTGGCAAACGCTTCATTCACGTCGCTAAGGAACGAAGTACAGGCCCAAGCCGCATTCCAATGCAGTAAAAAAACCGTCGGCGTCGTCACCGGGCGGTGATTCCCTATTGTACTGCGACTATGAATAGGGCAAAAATTGTGAATAATAGACAGTACCAGCCGACGCTTGAGACCGATCAAGATCACCAGCAGCAACAGTACGATTCCGATCCCGACGCGACCTTCCAGTTTCCAGAAGTTTTAAGTGTTGCATCACCAATCAGCCCGCAGTAAGCCGCCTCCAGACTTAGCGGTAAGATCAATCCTCGCTTTACACCATCTCGCGTTTCGCATTATTAGGTAAAAGTAATAGACACTACAGGCTTTCCTGCAATAGAGATTTCGCCCGAGTACCTTGGACGGGCAATTTCTATCTACTGGATCTCGCCCGAGTACCTTGGACGGGTGATCCATAGGAGGGATTTTTGCCTGAGTACTGTAACAAGCATTTTAATATGCTCGTTAAATTAAACAAATCAGTTCTAAATTTTGTACCGAGTAGGGTTATCGA